AACTGGCAGCCGCTCAGGAAGCAACTTCGACGACTGGGCTGCGAGCGTCATGAGATCCACATGTGTGCCTACGGTGCCGCTTGGAAGAAGCCCGCGGGCCTGTGCAGCAACCTGCCCAACTTCTCCGACGCCATCCGCCGCTGTCCGGGATGCCTGCGACATGTCATCCTGCAGGGCTCCGTCTTTGTCGAGGGCGTCGGCTGGCGATGGAGGACCTCGTATGCCGCGGCTTACCCTCCAGCTCTTTGTCGTGCTCTGGCCCGATTGCTGGGGGATGCCGCCCCGCAGAGTGCCTTCTGCCGCGCCGACGAGCAGCTCCTGGCGCCCTCGTGGGAGGGCAAGCTCAGGCGCGCGGCCGGCGAGTCCAGGGCCAGGCCAGGAGCCGCAGTGGCGCTCCCGGCCCTCCCGTGCCGAGCTTCGCTCGGCCGGGAACAGGCGAGCCGCTCCTGGGGCGGGGCCGACCTGGGCGAGGAGCTGGGCATCCTCCGTGCTCACCGAGGTGGAGACTCGTAATCGACGGCGCGGACAGCGCCTTCGACGGCACGGGGCCGAGCAGCCTGGCTTCCTCAAGAAGCTCACGGTCTCCCCCGTCACCCGCAAGCGCCGCGAGGCCGCCTGCGCCGACGTGGTGCGCTCCCTGGGCCAAGACGTGCCGAGTGCCAAGAGCATGGGCGCTTGGGGCCGCGCCCTCGAGAGCCACGTCGAGAAGCTCTACCAGGCGGGGGGCCGCGTCGCGGTCGCGAGGTGCGCTTTTCACGGGGTCGCCTTCGTCGAAGAGTGGCCTCGGCGGGGCCCCTCCCTATTGCCTCGCTCGAGGCTCGCCTTGCTGGGGTTCGCCCGCTCCTCGCCCGAGCGCTGCCGAGGCCCGCCGTGCGTGGGGCAGGTCTACTTAGCCATCGACTACTTCATCGGCCGGGCCGCTGGCGACGACCTGCTCCTCTACGCCGTGGCCGCCGCTCACGCCTGGATCAGCGTGGACTGCTACCTCCGGCCATCCGAAGGGCTGGCGCTGGCGGGGGCGGCGGTCAGCCGGCCGCGGCGTGGAGCCGCCGCCCAGGGCTGGGCTCTGACGTTCGCGCCCCGCGGCGGGCCGCCGGCCAAGAACAGACGGTTCGACGCTAGCGTGGTGGTTGGGGCCCATGACAGGGCCTGGGCTTGTGACTTGCTGGAGCTGCTAGTCCGCGACCTCCCAGCGGACAAGCCCGTCTTCCGAGCCCTCACGCTGCGCAGCTAGGAGCGGCTCGACAGAGAGATCAGCAAGGCCCTGGACTTCCCGATGGTCGCCCATGGTCTGCGCCATGCCGGGCCTAGCCACGACTCCTTGGTGCACAAGTCCGCGATTGATGACATCCAGCAGCGAGGTCGTTGTGCGTCGCTCGAGAGCTGCCGCGTCTACACGAAGCCAGCTAGCTTGGTGCGCTCGCTGGCCCGAGTCTCAGACGCTCTCCTGCGGCAGGCTGCACGCATCCGTCCACAGGTCTCAGAGCGCCTGCTGCAGGTGGTCAGTAGTGAGGCCCTCGCTATCGCTCGGCGTGCCGGGAATCTTGGCAAATCTAAACGAGGCCGGAGATGAGGTCAGCTCTTCTCTGGCATTCTTCGGGGTGCTGCTGCCCCTCAGGCACTCCTCGCGGTGTCCGCGAGCCGGCTCAGTAAACAAGCGCCCTCTCGTCGACGTCTGCTCTCCTCGTCGTCAGAGGCTAAAGGCAGGTTCTGGATTTTGTTGTGCTGTGTCTGGGCCGAAGCACGTTCCCCAGGGGATGTGATTTGTGCCTGCACGGTATATCCCTCATCTTTGTGTTTCTGCAGTTCTTTTCTCCCCCCTCTCCCCCCTCTTCCTTCCCTCTTTCTTTCGTCTCCCCCCCTTGTGTGTCGTCGACGATGTTGTGCCACTGACCTACACTAGCCTCCTGTGCGCTGCTGGGGCCCAGTAATTTGGCAAATCTAAACGAGGCCGGAGATGAGGTCAGCTCTTCTCCGGCATTCTTCGGGGTGCTGCTGCCCCTCAGGCACTCCTCGCGGTGTCCGCGAGCCGGCTCAGTAAACAAGCGCCCTTTCGTCGACGTCTGCTCTCATCGTCCTTAGAGGCTAAAGGCAGGTTCTGGATTTTGTTGTGCTGTGTCTGGGCCGAAGCACGTTTCCCAGGGGATGTATATATACCCCAAACCGTCGATACCTGCCCTCTTCCTCTTAGATCGTACCGCCTTTGGAGGTGGATCTTCTTCACTTGCCACGCGTACTTGGCGCAGCCCCTAGAACAGGACAGGGGAGGGCGTGGGGGAGGGGCGGGGCAGGGGAGAGGGAGAAGGATGGAGCACGAGAGAGATTAGCAGGAGGTGGGCAAGGCGCAGGATCATGAGCGGCAGCGACAAGCGGGCGCGTCGTGCGGGCGGACCCTAACGGGCGGTGGGGCGGGCGGGCCCGCATGGCCGGGTCGAGCGGGCGGGTCGTTGAAGCGTCCGCTTTGCAGGAATCGCGAAGAAGCCCCCAGCGATAGCACGATTCCAAACTGAATCGCGAGGAAGTCCCGAGCGAGAGCGTGATTCCTGACTGTTGAGCGCGCGGCGCAGGAATACATTGAGAGGATGTCCCACGCGAGAGTGCGGCTCCTGCAAACATTGTGAGGAGTGCGATTTCGAAGTCAACGTGTGGAAGTACCGGGCGGGGCCAGCAACCCAGCCTGGGGCCCAAGGTCTCCTCTCAAAAGTAACGGGAAGCGAGCCCCTGCAGGGCCAAAGCGGCTAGATTTAGCTGGCGGGTGGCTGAGGCATCAGTCCTGCATGGATCGCGAGGACGTCTCGAGCGACATCGCGCTTCCTAAATAAGTTGTCAGGACGCCCAGAGCAGGAGCGTGGTTCCTGAGTGTCGAGGGTGCGATGTTTCAAGGCATTGCGAACAAGTCCCACGCGAGAGCGCGACTCCTGTGATTAAATTGGGAGGAAGTTCCGCGCACGAGCGCGATGTCGGAAAACACGCCAGGAAGCATCTGGCGTGAGCCGTCGTTGTGGCAGTTCGGGAGGCCAGGGGCGCAGTCTGAGGCGCAAGCTTCTTCATTCAAGGTGCGAGCCCCTGGAGGGGCACTTACTTCACCTGGAACAAAAACGCCCGTCGAGTTTGAGCCCCATCTCGGAGGGCTTCATTAGTGCTGTGCAGGCATTCTGCGTGAACCTCCCGGAGCACTGGGGGGGGCATCTTGTTAACCTCACTGCGGGCCCGGTGGATCAAACAAAACAAATCACTTGAAACAAAAAGGTGAACTAGATGGGATGATCAACACTTGTTATGCTTCAGAAAGTAGAATACCACCACCACCAAAAACAAACAAGCTGAATTCGGGCCGCGGGACCCCGCTTTACCCACAGGCACAGACCCAGGGATGGTGTACGACCGTTCGGCCCCGTCACCATAGCTCTCGGGGTCCGCGCGGACCTCTTGGATCGGCGCTGGGCCAGGGGTCCAGCGCCTATCCAACAACTCCGCGCGGACCTCGGTCACTTTATGTTCTTCAGTTTTCTTGAATCGTAAATCACGGAAGTGTCCGATCGTTTTGAGTTGAATGAGTATCGACGATGGCGCTCAATCTCGCTCAACAGCGCCAACTAGCGCCCAGTAGCGTCGAATATCTTTCAGATGTTGCCCAACAGCGACCAACGGCGCCCAACATCGCCACGTGAGGGAGATGCATTCTGTCCGCTCTTCGCGCGATTGGGCGCGCTTTGGGGCGCCCTGGGGACGGCCCGGAGCTTCTTTTGATGGCAGCTCATGGGAGCCTGGCATGGCCTCGCGATTCCGTCTTTTGGAGTGCCGTGGCGTGCGTTGGCGTCCGGCAATCGATGAGAAAGCGCCGATCAAGCGTCGATTGGCGTCGATGTGGCACTGATCAGCCTCGGTTAGCGTCGATTCGCAAGAGCCGTAAGATGGCATGCGAGACCCCCATGAGCTGCCACAGAGTTTGCATCTACATATGTGTATAGTTACACACATATATATGTATATGTATATGTTTATATATATATATATATATGTATGTATAACAAAGTGTTGCTCCTCCTCTCGCAGGGGCGTTCTTGCGGCGCGGGGGCCTCCAGCTGTCTGGCTACGAGGAGGTCCTGGTAGCAGGCCATGACATGGGAGCCAGCAGGCCAGCAGGCCAGCAGACTAGCAGACCAGCAACCGCAGGCCGCTACGGCAGGCCAGCAGGCAGGCTAATCACTACCGCCAGTGGGACCAGCACTTCCTCCGAAAGTTCCACTGCCACCCTTACAAGCACAACTGCGACCAGCAGCGTCAGTGAGACCAGCTCTTCTTCAAGTTCCACCGAGCGCAACGATACCACGTTGAACACTACGGAGAGCTCCATCACCGCGACTGTGACGAGCACGAGCACCACCACAGCGGCCATCGCCAGTATGACCAGCATGTCTGCGAGCTCCACTGCCACGCTGACGAGCTTTACAGCGACCTCAGGGATCAGCGCTGGCTCCACTGCGACCACTACCTCGACTCTCACGCGCACGAGTGCAACAGGCCCCGCTTCAGGCTCTATCACGGTAACCAGCGCCACTGAGCGCACGGTGAGCGGCACCGCGAGCTCCATCAGCTCCATTGTGACGAGCGCAGCCTCCACCGCAGCGACCAGCGCCAGCATGTTCAGCATGTCCGAAAGCTCGACTGTCACGCCGACGAGCGCCAGCGCAAGTGGGACCGCCACAGTCAGCACTGCACAGAGCGCCACCGTATCGGCTAGTGCCACAGTGGCTGCTACAACGACCTGGACGGGCACTGCCACAGGGACCGTGGTACTCAGCGCTACAGGCACCGCCACCGCGTCGGCTAGCGCCGTGGCGACTGCTACTACGACCTTGACAGGCACAGACACCACCGCGTCTGCCAGCGCCTCCGACGAAACGACAACAGACGTAGCCACTGCGACGACTGACGAGACACTAGAAGTGGCCACTACGACGACCGTAGAGCAGGGGACCACGGAGTTGGAGAAGACAATGACGGGCACGACGACGTTGCTGTATGTCGTCAGCACCTCCCTGAAGTTCAAGAGCACGGGGGACGCGTCGCAGGTCGAGGCCGCGTCGATCGCGCACTTCCTGAGCCTGTTCGGCTGCGACCCCGCGGCCCTCACGCTGACCGTCTCCCAGTCCGCCCCCTTGCTCTCAGCGTCCCCAGCGCCGACCGCGCTCCCCACGCCACGTCCAACCTCGGAGCCCGCCGCCCCCACGCCAGCTCCCACTGAGCAGGTCGTTGTTTCTGCCGAGTACACAGCGGACGAGACTCTTCCTTCGGGCGTTACTTCGTCTGACCTCATGGCTTCCGCTGTCTACGTGGCCGCCAAAGAGACGGGTCTGTCCGCTGCCCTGTCCGTGCCCGTCTCTGACATCACGATCACAGGGTTCACCGTGGATGCCCTGCGGCTCTTGGCAGCTGCCCGCCAGCTCTCGGGAACAGCCGCAGTCTCTGTGACCACCAGCTTCACGGTTCAGGTCTCCGGCCAGAGTGTTGCCGACGACCTCTCCACCACGATTGCTGGAGCTGCCGACGACATCAAGACCCAGACTGACAGTGCTATGGCTGCTGCTGACTGGAGTAACGAATCGTTGATTACCGCCGCTCCTACGATGACGACTCCCGACGTGGCGGTTGTGGTTGTGGCGCCATCCCTGCAACCAACGCCGGCACCGACCGCGGCGCCTACGATGGCGTCGCCTGCACCATACCCGACGCCGCAGCCCGAATCCGAGCCCGAACCCGAGCCCGAGCCCGAGCCCGAGCCCGAGGCGCAGCCCGAGCCGCAGCCCGAGCCCGAGCCCGAGCCCGAGCCCGAGGCGCAGCCCGAGCCGCAGCCGGAGGCGCCTACACCAGCACCAGCGCTGGCGCCTACGCCGGCACCAGCCGCAGCACCAACGTCCGCGCCGCAGTCGACACCAACGCCCGCGCCGACGTCGGTGCCGACTTCAGCACCACCACAGTCTTGCCCGACGGGGTGTTTTGCTAGTACAACAACGTGCGACTACTGGGTCCAGACCTACGGTTACACCTGCGATACGTTGACCTTCTCCGGGTGCGACTGCAGTGGATGCTTTTGCGGCCCAACGCCTGCACCCATGCCTACTCCTGCTCCTACGCTACTCGACGGGTACGCCTCGCGCGCCGAGATACCCAGCGGGTGCGAGCTCGCAGACGCCGACAAACGGGCCACCGACGAGACGTGCCTCTTCGACTCCCAGTGCTTGGGCGGGCGCTGCTGCCCATACTACAAAGTTTGCCAGGACAGCGCTGGCGACGGCTACGGCGACTGGGTCGCACAGAACGACCCCGTCATCATGGAGGTCCTCGTCGGTCCCGAGTACGGCGGCTCGGGAACCCACGCCTGCAGCAACGGGTTCTGCAGGGCCTGTGACTTCGTGACGAGTGTTCCTCCGGCCGATACTACCGTGTGCAACGATTGGCTTGACGACGGCCCTGTGATGACTACGAGCGGTTCTCTTTACATCAACACCTACGGCTTGTGGGACCTCACGGACCCAGCCTGCAACTGCGGCCAGGGCTTCCTGGACAAGGTGATGAGCGGCGAGTGGGTCCCCGCCTGCGGCAGCCCGACGCTGGTCCCCCCGACGGCGTCGCCTACACCATACCCCGCGCAGGCGCCAACGTCCGTGCCAGCGTCTACGCCAGCACCAACACCGGCGCCGACGTCGTCACAGACCTTAGCACCATCACAAGCTCCCACTGAGCAGGTCGTTGTTTCTGCCGAGTACACAGCGGACGAGACTCTTCCTTCGGGCGTTACTTCGTCTGACCTCATGGCTTCCGCTGTCTACGTGGCCGCCAAAGAGACGGGTCTGTCCGCTGCCCTGTCCGTGCCCGTCTCTGACATCACGATCACAGGGTTCACCGTGGATGCCCTGCGGCTCTTGGCAGCTGCCCGCCAGCTCTCGGGAACAGCCGCAGTCTCTGTGACCACCAGCTTCACGGTTCAGGTCTCCGGCCAGAGTGTTGCCGACGACCTCTCCACCACGATTGCTGGAGCTGCCGACGACATCAAGACCCAGACTGACAGTGCTATGGCTGCTGCTGACTGGAGTAACGAATCGTTGATTACCGCCGCTCCTACGATGACGACTCCCGACGTGGCGGTTGTGGTTGTGGCGCCATCCCTGCAACCAACGCCGGCACCGACCGCGGCGCCTACGACGGCGTCGCCTGCACCATACCCGACGCCGCAGCCCGAATCCGAGCCCGAACCCGAGCCCGAGCCCGAGCCCGAGGCGCAGCCCGAGCCGCAGCCCGAGCCCGAGCCCGAGCCCGAGCCCGAGGCGCAGCCCGAGCCGCAGCCGGAGGTGCCTACACCAGCACCAGCGCTGGCGCCTACGCCGGCACCAGCCGCAGCACCAACGTCCGCGCCGCAGTCGACACCAACGCCCGCGCCGACGTCGGTGCCGACTTCAGCACCACCACAGTCTTGCCCGACGGGGTGTTTTGCTAGTACAACAACGTGCGACTACTGGGTCCAGACCTACGGTTACACCTGCGATACGTTGACCTTCTCCGGGTGCGACTGCAGTGGATGTTTTTGCGGCCCAACGCCTGCACCCATGCCTACTCCTGCTCCTACGCTACTCGACGGGTACGCCTCGCGCGCCGAGATACCCAGCGGGTGCGAGCTCGCAGACGCCGACAAACGGGCCACCGACGAGACGTGCCTCTTCGACTCCCAGTGCTTGGGCGGGCGCTGCTGCCCATACTACAAAGTTTGCCAGGACAGCGCTGGCGACGGCTACGGCGACTGGGTCGCACAGAACGACCCCGTCATCATGGAGGTCCTCGTCGGTCCCGAGTACGGCGGCTCGGGAACCCACGCCTGCAGCAACGGGTTCTGCAGGGCCTGTGACTTCGTGACGAGTGTTCCTCCGGCCGATACTACCGTGTGCAACGATTGGCTTGACGACGGCCCTGTGATGACTACGAGCGGTTCTCTTTACATCAACACCTACGGCTTGTGGGACCTCACGGACCCAGCCTGCAACTGCGGCCAGGGCTTCCTGGACAAGGTGATGAGCGGCGAGTGGGTCCCCGCCTGCGGCAGCCCGACGCTGGTCCCCCCGACGGCGTCGCCTACACCATACCCCGCGCAGGCGCCAACGTCCGTGCCAGCGTCTACGCCAGCACCAACACCGGCGCCGACGTCGTCACAGACCTTAGCACCATCACAAGCTCCCACTGAGCAGGTCGTTGTTTCTGCCGAGTACACAGCGGACGAGACTCTTCCTTCGGGCGTTACTTCGTCTGACCTCATGGCTTCCGCTGTCTACGTGGCCGCCAAAGAGACGGGTCTGTCCGCTGCCCTGTCCGTGCCCGTCTCTGACATCACGATCACAGGGTTCACCGTGGATGCCCTGCGGCTCTTGGCAGCTGCCCGCCAGCTCTCGGGAACAGCCGCAGTCTCTGTGACCACCAGCTTCACGGTTCAGGTCTCCGGCCAGAGTGTTGCCGACGACCTCTCCACCACGATTGCTGGAGCTGCCGACGACATCAAGACCCAGACTGACAGTGCTATGGCTGCTGCTGACTGGAGTAACGAATCGTTGATTACCGCCGCTCCTACGATGACGACTCCCGACGTGGCGGTTGTGGTTGTGGCGCCATCCCTGCAACCAACGCCGGCACCGACCGCGGCGCCTACGACGGCGTCGCCTGCACCATACCCGACGCCGCAGCCCGAATCCGAGCCCGAACCCGAGCCCGAGCCCGAGCCCGAGCCCGAGGCGCAGCCCGAGCCGCAGCCCGAGCCCGAGCCCGAGCCCGAGCCCGAGGCGCAGCCTGAGCCGCAGCCGGAGGCGCCTACACCAGCACCAGCGCTGGCGCCTACGCCGGCACCAGCCGCAGCACCAACGTCCGCGCCGCAGTCGACACCAACGCCCGCGCCGACGTCGGTGCCGACTTCAGCACCACCACAGTCTTGCCCGACAGGGTGTTTTGTTAGTACAACAACGTGCGACTACTGGGTCCAGACCTACGGTTATACCTGCGATACGTTGACCTTCTCCGGGTGCGATTGCAGTGGATGCTTTTGCGGCCCAACGCCTGCACCCATGCCTACTCCTGCTCCTACGCTACTCGACGGGTACGCCTCGCGCGCCGAGATACCCAGCGGGTGCGAGCTCGCAGACGCCGACAAACGGGCCACCGACGAGACGTGCCTCTTCGACTCCCAGTGCTTGGGCGGGCGCTGCTGCCCATACTACAAAGTTTGCCAGGACAGCGCTGGCGACGGCTACGGCGACTGGGTCGCACAGAACGACCCCGTCATCATGGAGGTCCTCGTCGGTCCCGAGTACGGCGGCTCGGGAACCCACGCCTGCAGCAACGGGTTCTGCAGGGCCTGTGACTTCGTGACGAGTGTTCCTCCGGCCGATACTACCGTGTGCAACGATTGGCTTGACGACGGCCCTGTGATGACTACGAGCGGTTCTCTTTACATCAACACCTACGGCTTGTGGGACCTCACGGACCCAGCCTGCAACTGCGGCCAGGGCTTCCTGGACAAGGTGATGAGCGGCGAGTGGGTCCCCGCCTGCGGCAGCCCGACGCTGGTCCCCCCGACGGCGTCGCCTACACCATACCCCGCGCAGGCGCCAACGTCCGTGCCAGCGTCTACGCCAGCACCAACACCGACGCCGACGTCGTCACAGACCTTAGCACCATCACAATCTCCCACTGAGCAGGTCGTTGTCTCTGCCGAGTACACAGCGGACGAGACTCTTCCTTTGGGCGTTACTTCGTCTGACCTCATGGCCTCCGCTGTCTACGTGATCGCTAAAATGACGGGTTTATCAGCTGCCTTGTCAGTAATTGTGTCCGATATCGAAGACGCCTACGGCGAACCACCGCGGCCACCCTGCATTTTGGAGACGACTATCTGGCCAAACGTTGGCCCGAAGTCTTGCCATACTAGGACTACGTATTCTCCTGGCCGTTTTGGAAACCCATGGGGGTATACTTGCCGGAGTAAGAGGGATGATGATGATGATGATGATGATGATGATGATGATGATGATGATGATGATGATGATGATGATGATGATGATGATGATGATGATGATGATGATGATGATGATGCTGATGCTGATGCTGATGCTGATGCTGATGCTGATGGTGATGCTGATGAGGAGGAGGAGGAGGAGGAGGAGAGGAGCAGGAGAGGAGGAGGTGGAGGAGAGGAGGAGGAGGAGGCGAAGGAGGAGGCGAAGAAAGAGGATCATAGTAAACCTAAGGCGCATCAGCGATGTTGAAGTAACTGTATGCCAGCAGGAGTTGCGATTTTGGCCCCAGGGCACTTGGGCGCTTCGCAACTGGACGATGCCGGCGTGTGACCGCACAGAGTAACCAACGCCTATGCTCGTTTCAAGCATCCCTGCGGCATCAGCATTTGTTTGAACTACTAGAAGGACAATGTTCAGGAGGGGAAAAAACACACAGACACAATTTATCCTCGGTTCCCAGGGAAATGTGGGAAACTATGGGCAGTGGGGGGGAAGACAGAAACCCAGAACATATGGGAAAATATGGGGAGTGATTTTATGTGTGTGTATTTATTTGTGTGTCCTGGGGCCCCTTCAAAGATCGGACTCCCTCTTTGTGGCCTTCCCTCCCTCCCCAGCGTGGGCCACAGCCCGGAGCCCCCTCGCCCTGGAGACGGCCCCCTGTGAACACGTACATTACGTTGAGCCTTCCCACTCCCGATGCCCCTCAGGAGGGGAGAAAACACACAGACACAATGATTCGCCGATTCCCAGAACATATTGGAAAATATGGGAATTGGGATGGGAAGACAAACACCGAGGAGAGATTGGAAAATGTGGGGAATCTGTTTATTTGTGTGCATCTATGTGTGTGTCCCAGGGCCCCTTCAGTCACATGAAGCGTTCCACAGTGGGCCTCGCCCTCGAGGGTCGAAGTAGTTGCCATCCCCTCCGCGGCGGAGCGCGGTGGAGGCCCGCGGAAGTACAACGTGCGCCCTCAAGAGATGGACACGTTTTTTGGGGGGTGCAGGATTTCCGGGATGTGCCACGTGTGCAGCAGATCGGTCCAGGAAGTGTCACGGTTATTCTTCAGTGTCCTATGCCCCGCAGCATGCGGTTCGGGAGTCCGTCGCGACCATGGGGGCTCATCCATCGCTTCGTGGACCAGTGCGCCTCAGGTTTGTGAGGGCCACATTGGGCAAGACTTTTGGCATTCATGATGCAAGAACATAAGTGTTTGTTTCTGTAGGACCTAGTGTCAGAACGCCAGGCTATGACTGCCTCGGGGGCTCTATAGGTGCACGTGACCCTCGAGGAGTTCAAAAGGGCCCATGGGGGTGGATTTCGTGACCCAGAACTCTCAGGTAGGTCGCCAGAAGGTTCAGGAGGCTCTGGGTGAGGCAGCTCGGGGGTGCCATGATGCGGCTTGGGGTGAACTGCAAGACGCGTTCCAAACATTTCTTGGGCGAGGGGCTCTCGTTCAGACCATTGCGCTTTGGTTTGGTTTCACGTTCGCTGCCGCGAAGCTGCGCGGCTTGTTCTCGACGGCGGGGCTTGGGAAGGCAAGTATTTCGAATCAATTGCTTAGGGTTTGGGGCCTTCCAGAAAGCGTCAACGGGGCCCCAAAGGGCCTCTCTTCCATCGCCTCGGGGAAGGGGGGCTTGCTTTCGGAAGAGGCTGGATGAGCCTGGCGCTTCTTCTCCGTCGTAAAGGCTTCGCCATTCCGTTTTCGCTTTTCGGATGTTCGTCTTCCATTCAAGCGATCTTTTTTTGTAACGCCGCGACAAAGCAAATCTTATTGCAAGGGCGCCACACAAATAATTCTTCTATAAGGCAGCCACAAATGGAATCCTTTGGTAGGGCCACCGCGAACGGAATCGTTTTGTAGGGCCGCCACACAACGAATCCTTTCGCAAGGCCGCCACAAAAGGAATCCTTTTGTAAGGCCGCTACAAAAGGAATCCTTGTGTAAGGCCGCCACAAAAGAAACTTAGCTTGGCGAGGGACCGAACCATATGCAGTGGGGAGTATCGCAATTGTGAATATCGTCTTCGGTGGCGCTCCCTATGGGGCCACAAACCGCATGAGGGGCGGGTGCCGAAATGTGTGGCGGGGTACACAACACGAACGACGACGATAAGTCTGAGTACGAGAGACTGAGCGCGGGTGAGTGTGAGCGCGAGTGAATCTGATTGTGAATGAGTCTGCGCGGGAGTGAGTCTACATGCATGAATGCGAGCATGGCTACACTTAGTGTAAACGTATGAGTGTGAGTGTATTGGGTATGCCTAGCTTTGAGTACTCGTGGCACTGATCGTGGTTGCCGCAGGGGGCTCCC